AGGGGTGAAGTATTGTATTTACTCATAAAAACCTGTCTCTGTAGATCAGGCGGCTGGCATTTCTATAGATAAGATTTAGTTCAAGGTAAAGATTTTGTATGAGGTGTCCAACAGTGTATAAAAGGGGATTATTTTAACACTGATAAATAAGGTAGAAATTTGATTCATGAATTACATAAGTAAGTCAAGACTTGTCTGATCTGTTCCTATCCTCACAGTGTTCATCTAACTGAACTGTTAATTACACTTGTCAAGGCAATACAGGTGTGAAGTATCACGCCATCGTTACTTCTCAGGTGTGGACAGGTACGAAGCTGACATTACACTCAGGGAGCCCAATCATTGGTGGATTCCCCATAGTGTGATTACTCCTCATATGGCGTGTAACCAGAATGAGTCTCGACCCATCTAACAGTCTGTATTTAAATTATGCAATATTTCAGTATTAATGATAGTGTAAGGCTTAGTTCTCCCACCCAAGGGATGATAAAAACCCAGATGACTATGGAATATTAAAGGGTATAGAATTTTATATACCTCTTAAAATATTGTATAGAGGACTTGCTGCACAGCATGTGCAATCAAGCAGAGTGAATTTGATAATAGATATACATATGTAATTGTATCCTTGTTACTGTTTAAAGTCACAGGTAATACTCTAGACAAGGTGTGTGTTTCGTATAAAACTAAATATATGCAACATTCCTTAAGTTATTTGTAGGTCAGATTACACCACACAGAAAACAAGGTAGTGACATTCATTCACATCTCCACGCTGTCAATAATACTTTCAGGTAACTTTATATGGAAACAAAACGCAGTTCAACAAGATCCTGGTTCTCTGTTGGTTTTTTGTCTATAACTTTATATATGATATCTTGAATGAGATATTCTCTTATCATTTCCTTAAGCTTGTCACCACTATTTTATTTGACAAAAATATTAAGAAATAGTTAATCACCTAACATAATTAAGTTGTCCTTTGAACAAATGAAAAAATATTTATCACATAATATCATTTGATATATTACAAAACAAGAAATTTCCTTTTGGTAGCTGCTTAAAATATTCATATATGTATCATACAATCATTGCCAAAATTTCCCTAACACTTCACCCAATCTTTATTGCTTAAGATTTTGCTCCCTAGCCTTTTTATATTCTGTTTTGTGCTGGGAATGTTCCCTTCAGAAAATCTCATACACATTACATTTAACAGCAAGGGATCTATTAAACTATTCAAGCGAAAAAGTAAGCATCTAACCCTGATAATGAGTACATTTTATTTACAATGTGATGTAATATATATATTTATTTCAACATTAAATCCTTTTTAAATCTGTTTATCATATATTACATAGACTATGTATTTACATCAGTATGAATTGCACTGACACAAACATAGTTTAGCTCTGTAGTCAACCTTGAGTTTTTAATATAATGCTATTTTTATTGTTGTGTGTATTTGAGTAAGCTAGGCGTAAGCCCTGAATGAACAGGGAACATGTTTTAAAGGGAGACAATTTTCATTCTTAATTTCTTGTAAAAGTGACTTGGAAACCTCTCTCAGTGTTTTGTATGATTTTGAAGACAAACTTATATATTACATGTAATAAAGGACAGGGAAATAAACTACCATATCAGGATTTGAACTTCACTCACTAAACATTAAATAAAATGTGTTACATGATTTAGATGTATCACTAAATGTGTTACATGATTTAGATGCATCACTAAATGTGTTACATGGTTTAGATGTATCACTAAATGTGTTACATGGTTTAGATGTACATCACTAAATGTGTTACATGATTTAGGTGTATCACTAAATGTGTTACATGATTTAGATGTATCACTAAATGTGTTACATGATTTAGATGTACATCACTAAATGTGTTACATGATTTAGATGTATCACTAAATGTGTTACATGGTTTAGATGTATCACTTAATGTGTAACATGATTTAGATGTATCACTAAATGTGTTACATAATTTAGATGTACATCACTAAATGAGTTACATGATTTAGATGTACATCTCTAAATGTGTTACATGATTTAAATGTACATCAATCATTGTGTTACATGATTTAAATGTACATCAATCATTGTGTTACATGATTTAAATGTACATCAATCATTGTGTTACATGATTTAAATGTACATCAATCATTGTGTTACATGATTTAAATGTACATCAATCATTGTGTTACATGATTTAAATGTACATCAATCATTGTGTTACATGATTTAAATAAATGTACATCCCGAAATGTGTAACATGATTTAGATGTACATCACTAAATGTGTAACATAATTTAGATGTACATCACTAAATGTGTAACATGATTAAGATGTACATCACTAAATGTGTAACATGATTTAGATGTATCACTAAATGTGTAACATGATTTAGATGTTTCACTAAATGTGTTACATAACTTAGATGTACATCACTAAATGTGTTACATGGTTTAGATGTATCACTAAATGTGTTACATAATTTAGATGTACATCACTAAATGTGTAACATGATTTAGATGGATCACTAAATGTGTTACATGATTTAGATGTACATCACTAAATGTGTAACATGATTTAGATGTATCACTAAATGTGTTACATGATTTAGATGTACATCACTGTGTTACATGGTTTAGATGTACATCACTAAATGTATAACATGATTTAGATGTATCACTAAATGTGTTACATGATTTAAATGTACATCACTAAATGTGTTACATGATTTAGATTTATCACTTAATGCGTTACATGATTTAGATGCACACTTAATGTGTTACATGATTTAAATGTACATCACTAAATGTGTTACATGATTTAGATGGATCACTTGATGCGTTACATGATTTAGATGTATCACTTAATGCATTACATGATTTAGATGTATCACTAAATGTGTTACATGATTTAGATTTATCACTTAATGTGTTACATGATTTAGATGTATCACTAAATGTGTTACATGATTTACATGTACATCACTAAATGTGTTACATGGTTTAGATGTTTCACTAAATGTGTTACATGATTTAGATGTATCACTAAATGTGTTACATGATTTAGATGTACATCACTGTGTTACATGATTTAAATGTACATCACTAAATGTGTTACATGATTTAGATGTATCACTTAATGCGTTACATGATTTAGATGTATCACTTAATGTGTTACATGATTTAAATGTACATCACTAAATGTGTTACATGATTTAGATGGATCACTTAATGCGTTACATGATTTAGATGTATCACTTAATGCATTACATGATTTAGATGTATCACTTAATGTGTAACATGATTTAGATGTACATCACTAAATGTGTTACATGATTTAGATGTATCACTAAATGTGTTACATGATTTAAATGTACATCACTAAATGTGTTACATGATTTATGTGTATCACTAAATGTGTTACATGGTTTAGATGTATCACTAAATGTGCTACATGGTTTAGATGTATCACTTAATGTGTTACATGATTTAGATGTACATCACTGTGTTACATGATTTAGATGTATCACTAAATGTGTTACATGATTTACATGTACATCACTAAATGTGTTACATGGTTTAGATGTTTCACTAAATGTGTTACATGATTTAGATGTATCACTAAATGTGTTACATAATTTAGATGTATCATTAAATGTGTTACATGGTTTAGATGTATCACTAAATGTGTTACATGATTTAGATGTATCACTAAATGTGTTACATGATTTAAATGTATCACTAAATGTGTTACATGGTTTAGATGTATCACTAAATATGTTACATGGTTTAGATGTATCACTAAATGTGTTACATGATTTATGTGTATCACTAAATGTGTTACATGATTTAGATGTATCACTATATGTGTTACATGATTTAGATGTATCACTATATGTGTTACATGATTTAGATGTACATCACTAAATGTGTATTATGATTTAGATATACATCACTTAATGCGTTATATGATTTAGATGTATCACTAAATATGTGACATGATTTTAGATGTACATCACTAAATGTGTAACATGATTTAGGTGTATCACTAAATGTGTTACATGATTTAAATGTACATCACTAAATGTGTTACATGATTTAAATGTACATCAATCAGTGTGTTACATGATTTAAATAAATGTACATCACTAAATGTGTAACATGATTTAGATGCATCAATCAGTGTGTTACATGATTAGGGGTAGGTTAAGTTCTGTAGACTTGACATACATAGGTCTTACAGTATCAAAGGTTTATTTACCTTATCAATATCAACAAGCTAAAACCCATTATAGACTTAACAAGGGAATTACATCATCCAACAATAGAGCTGGTCTCACAGTACTGAAGTCTAAAGCTTCTTACCCAGGGTAACTGTATATAGCAGGTGTTTGTATAGAGGATTTGGGACAGATTGTGTCTCTGTAACAGGGTTCAGCTAATCTGACCTGCTGTTAGACTAGAAAAATAACCACAGCTTAGCACGAATATCACCTGTTTAAAATATACTCGTAAAGTGTATAATGTATTATTGTTGTTGGACTTTGGAAAATAGAAAGTTTTATTTCTTGACCTTATCATGTCAACCTATCAGGGCATGTTGTTGATAAGAATGTACAGCTTTTTATAGAAAACTTAATGTACAATTGTATGCACTTTCATACTCAAAACAAGTATTTTGGTATTGTTTATGCATAAAATTGTATAAAACTGCATATAAAACCATGGATAACATCAGCTTCGGTTAGTTGTGAGGTTGTGACCATTTCATTTTATTTAGATATTGCTTACTGTGTGGCAGTAGTCAGTGGCAATATTTTCTATTTGAAATTTAGTTTTATGTGTTCATATCATTGACGCAAAATAAAAGCAAAATATACAAGTATTATCCACAGTTCTAAAAAACCTGATATATAAAACTAAAATCAGATATAAAATCAGTATTTGCTCTATATGAATATACATTATTAATAAATTACCTCCCCTCCTGTCGAAGGTTCCACATCAGAATATCTTGTCTCGCAAATCACATCCGTAAGATTTTGTACTGGGTCTCGGGAAATATTTGGGAATGACTTTTTACAGTTATATGCAAAGTACCTGTAAACTTTCCACGTTTTGCCGAAATCATGAGATCTTTCGACAAGCATAGCCTTTGGTCGGAAAGATTTAAAAGTCATGATTAAATGAGTAAAATGGAATTCTGCCTCTAAATCTAACTGTATATATACATTCTCCTTTCCATTCTCAGCCTGCCACCAGCGTAGCTTTCTGTCTCCACTAAAAGAATTGTCTCCAATAAAAGAAGATACAACATTTTCAAGCATATGACTCTGATTATTCTGCCGCGACCACGGGGTCCTAGAGTCACAGCTGAAACACTTCTTTTCCTCCTCTAAATGACTAACAATACAATAGGTCTGTGGTCTCTTAGAACCACACGTTGATGAGGCGTACAATTGTTCTTCACTTTTTCTCCCAATAAGTAAATCTCCCGTGGCTGGGTAACAACTTCCTTGCTCACACTGAGGCTGTCTGCTACGTTGACAATGTATACCTGAAAAATACAAGATAATGAAAGTATACTGAATGTTGATTTATCTGTTATCTAATTGTTTCTTAAAATCTTAATATTAAAACATTGTAAATAATTAACATCTTTATCATAAAAGTAGTCAAGAACAATGAGTTTCTATACAATCAATTGCCCTGTACTTGAAAAAAGAATGTCTTTAGACAAAATTTCTATTCACACCTACTAAATGCTTTGAATCTAATAGTATGCTGTATATTACTGTTCAAAGACCTGCATACTATTTGTATTTAGTTATATATTTTTTCATTGGCAGAAGGGATTTAAGAATTCTATCATCTTAGAAATAACAAACAAAATACATATTTATAAGCTTTAACAATGCTCAGGTGTTAGAGGTGCAGTCAATGTAACAGGTCTTTAACACAATTTTTGAAAAGTTACCTTTAATGATCTGAAATCGTGCAAGTTTTTTTCATGTTTTCTGACATATACATCAATATAAACAGGTAATTTCACACAAAAAAAATAATAATAGAACTATTTGATCTGTTATCTGAGTGAACTCATCTATATGTAACACTGCTTTGAATACTTAACTCGGTACACACTATACAGATGTAAAAGGTATTTTTATGAGGATTTGTGTTCATTCACATGTTACAATCTCCTATGATCTTGTTTAGTCTGCATGTACATATACAGGTGTAGTCTATATAGTATAAATGTTTAAGCTTGAGTAATATCTAAACTGAGTTATAAAATAAGCTCATACTATCAATGGTTGTGGGAAACAGCATAATAAATTTATAGTAATTATAATTGAAATTAAAACATGTTTCAACAAGACCACCATCAACTCTGTTTATCAATGTTACAGTAAAACCTCAATATACTGTCATCTAAAATATACTTGGCCACCTCAATGAAAACGCCAGCATATTTCAAAGGCCCCTTTCCTTCATTCTTTATCAATTCCTTGATGCTTCGAATTCGTAATCTATCCCAAACCCCCTCAAAATACCAAAATTTGGCTGACAATTAGTGAATATTTTCTAACAAGGCAGAGTATTGAAAGCAATCTCTATATATAGTTCCCAACCTCCAGACAAACTTTGTTATCAAAAATCAACTAAGGGCCAGACTTGATTTAGCATCGGACACTTCCCGACACCCCCGGACACTCCCTGACACTCCCCGACACACTCCCCGACACTCCCCGACACTCCGGACACTCCCTGACACTCCGGACACTCCCCGACACTCCGGACACTCCCCGACACTCCGCCATCCTAATAGGTACCATACTGTATTACAGTTTTTGGCAGTTGTAGATGATGGATCTACAGTATGTATATGTAAATGTCCCAGACAAAATAAAAGAATACAAACCCAGCCCCATGAGGTACATGTGTAAAGTACTGGTTGGGTATTAGTATTAGGATATTCATGTAGAAACCTTTATTAACAAGAGTTCCACGGTAGATAGTGTGTCGCCTGCTCATGCAGCGCTTTTAGTAAGAAAAGTGTTTCGGCTGAAGTTATCGTGTAAACAGATATGCCAAAACATGGAAAGTTGAAACTCGACTGAAAAAAACCTAATATATGTTGAACATTATTGCTTCTCGCATTACCGTACAAAATTTGAAAGGAATTGATTATAATATATTAAAGTGCTACACAATGCCCTTATTTGGCAATGAAAGAGGCATAACTCCACCAAAAATGCACGTAAACTTCTGAAATGCGAACTTGTCCGAGCTATATTGGTATGCAACATGTGTACAATATTGGAGAATAATCAACCCAAGGGAACTTTAGTTATCACATGGAAATCTAGTTTTGGACAACGCAACTGACGCCACCAACGACAAAGAGATACCTATATGTCGCCTCACGTTGCAGGCGACAGAAAAATGATGGTCACCTGCACCAGCATGGAAATTTTCTATTCAAAGTATAAAGTAGTCAGTTAAAATCAAATTACACATTGCACTTGGAAAGGAGCATTGCTCAAAAATAAATATGGTAAGTGCAGTTCTTCTCTTTATCTCTGGAATGGAACATTGCTAAGTAGGTAGTCATGCAATTATTATTTCACTGAAAAGCATTGTATATTAATATATCGCATACACTGAAATTTAGAAATATATCAAAAGACCCAAAAAATCAGTGCGCGTGGCTGAAATATAATTCAGGAATGTACAGTACAACACATACAGGATGATAGAGTCTGCACCAGGAGAGCTGATTCCAGTAGTTGGCCGTGACCTTGTTAGTGACCTTGTCAGGGTGTGATCTAACAACAACATCTAACACTGGGAACACACAGACACATGTACCATCATCACCTCACATGTAGCTCTGTGTATGTACAACACTCTCTAGTACATACAGTGTTTGTGCCAACATAGTTCCAGCGTTTTATTTTTTTAACATTTCCTGTATTCCGCTCCCTCGATATACTGTCTAACCTGTCTGTAATGCAACTGTTTGACAGAACGTTTAGTGGCAGTATAACAAAATAAGACTTTATAAAGTACAATCACATATATATATAGGAGGAAGACAAGCACCCAGTTTCATATATAAATGTATACCAGTCCAGTTTCATATATACATGTATACCAGTCCAGTTTCATATATACATGTATACCAGTCCAGTTTCATATATACATGTATACCAGTCCAGTTTCATTTGAGATTGTGACATCCTGTGTGCCTCCATCCATTGCAAACAAGGCTGATCAATATAAGTTGTTTGATAAAAACTAGTTTCATAATTGTTAAAATAACATTTAATTTACCGGTAATAGTATTTTAATCAGCATAAAAAGGATTGCTGATACTAGCGGAAGTATATGTTAATTCCTTAGTTATCGTAACAGATTTGGCTGTTTTATCATCAATACGATGGTGTTGTAACAGCGACTTGGTGAAATGAATCCCATTAATTACAGTACATTTATTTAATGGGTTGTGTGGGTTTAATTGAAGAGTGTGCAGGTGTGGCTACGTGTATTACATGTGTGACCCTATTTATTTAGAGAGTTTTAGAACTGTTGTAATTGAGTATAAATCATTACCTACATATAATGTAAGTAGTACGGAGCAAACACCTGTTCTATTAACCATATATTTACCTGGGTTTTTTTTTTTAAATTAAGTGAATAATTTATATCCAGAAAACATTATTAGTTTAATAATGATATACAGTATATTGGGAGTACAAAATTTGATCTATAGTTGTAACATAAATTTCAAAAACTGTCCTGCCAGCGTTTGGTCTAAAATATGATTTAAAACCACCATGGTGATCAGTTACAATACTATAACTTTGTCTATGCATTTGAGTGTCTTTGAAGAGCTGTGGTATTCACCAGGTCGTACTAACCAGGTGTGTAGTGGGTCTTTTATGTACAGATTATCTAAATCTTCAAAGAGCTCAAGTATACCCCAAACCCACAAGTAGTATATATTACAAATGGATACTTCATATCTATCTGATTACAGATCTAGAGGAGCATTTAGGGAAAATAGTTATATAAGTATCTCTTGTTGTCATTCTGATGACCTATAATTAATGGATACATGTACAAAGGTACAACAAAACGTCTATAATCATCAGTATATTTAACTAGGTACTTCATTGTATGTACAAATGTTTCCTAGGCATGAAATCTAGTTCTGTTCAAATATATATCCATATACACAAGTAAGAATTATAAAGCAGAACCTTCAAACAGGAAAATTACATTTGTATAATAAATACATAGAGATGTAGAGGATAAATTGGTGAGGATAATTTTGACCTTCTGCACTGCCGAATGAAAGACAACAGATGTTGAGGAGTGATTAACTACTAGTGATACTGTGGTACATCAAGATAAGGATTTTCAGATTCAGCTGTCATTTATATTTTAAGATGAATGGCAGTCCATTTAGGCATGCATGTATGTAGGTCTTCAAATATTATAGATATCATGATCTATAAAACATGTAGTCTACAGCTACTGAAACTGGCCCAGTTTAACTGTACAGGTACCAAATTTGACCTAAAAGTGTTAGTAAATTACAGTGGCCACCAGTAATTTTTGTTGATGTTTTTCCATGCATTTCCAGAACCTCATTTCCGAAAGATGATGAGTCCCATCATAAAGGATATAATTGGTTTTCAAAATGAGTTCTATTGGATAAAACGAAATTTTCGTAGAACCAAAACATATACCTCCCCCTCCCTCTTACTTTCGCCCCCAACAGGAAGTATGACTCCCCTTAAGAGCTGGCCCCTCCAACAGCTGGAAGTAGGTCTCCCCCGGAGCAACCCCCCCAAATGGATGCAGGACTGCTCAGGTCTCTTCAGGACCAGGCCCCTATAACTGGAAGCAAGACTCTCCAGGGGTTGCCCCTCTAACAGGAAGTAAGACTCCTAAGGAGTTTGCCCCTGTAACTGAAAGTTAGACTTTCCAGGAGTTGGCCCCTCTAACAGGAAGTAAGACTCTCCAGGAGGTGGCCCCTCATCAGGAAAAAAGACTCCCTAGAGAGAGGTTAGACCCCCCC